AATGTTGTTACATTTTTTCAAACTGAAGAAAAAAAATGTTTTGTCTCTTTAAGTTATTGATTTCTTTCTTCGATTTATTTTATTTTCAATTAAATAAGACTATACATATTTTTTAGAACAAAATTATTACAATTAGGTATTGCATTTGTAATGATTGTATTTGAGAAAAACTCTAATTTCTTTCTGATATACAAAAAGCTTTTTTGTTAGTGACTGAGAAATAGAAATTTTCTGTTGGTTTTCTTGTTTTTTAATTTTTTTTATTTTTTGTTTCTGATGGGACAAATAGCTTGTTTCTTTCCGCGCAAGAAATAAATCCAATTTTCCCGTTCATTTCTTGCATAAATCGGGCAAATTGCTCATACGCCACACACATTCAATTGGTGATAAATCAGGTGATCGTGGTGCAACCGTTCCCGTAAAAGGGCAACCATTATCATGAAAAATGCGATCATTTAACCTCAAAGTAGGGAGTGTCGGCCGATTTGCCCTAAGTAACGCCGTGATTTTTTGCTCTATTTGTAGACAATATAAATAGAAGATCATTACATGTTACCTAAATGTCTTCAAGTGTTAGATCATCAAAGATAATATCTTCAGTGATGTTTCCTCACGTTTAGTCCTGAAGACTTCATTGTAACTATAATGAAGTTATTCCAGATGTATCAGCAGATGTTCCAAGCAACGCTTTCGATGCCTTCTTCTTTTTTCCGACCTTCAAATTACCTCCAGGTCGATTCACCGCGAATTTCGCTTTTCAAAAATGCGAATTTCGGCTCGAGGGCTTTTGGAGTGTATGCAAGGCACGTAAAAGCAGTGATGCCACCATAAAATCGCCAAATATCGTTAACAAATGGCCGAGGTGGGTATAATAGCGACGACTCAACAATTACAATGTGACGTAAGCCATTAATTATAACCTAACCTGTGGTTAGGACTTAACAAGCTGTCACTAGTAGATTGTTAGCGTGTTATTTATGAGAATTTAAACGCGAACTCTTGTAGTACAAACCGGCGTACGAACGGAGCGGCTCACACCACGTTTCGGACGCGCCATCATCAGATTCTCTTTTCTCGGAATTAATTAACATGTTGGTTTGTTAAACGACGTGTAATGGCGAGGGAAGCGTCGAGGGTTTAATAAATCCCGCATTTGATTTATTACAAAGAATTTGAATTTTTGGCGCGGTAATAGCGCATTCCTCACTAATTATCTCGGCGAAACAAGAAAATTTTCTGCGAGATTACACACCGGTGATTCGAGGAAACTTTCGACACCTGGAAGAACTGTTTAACAACTTGTTAATAATTAACTGATTAAATCGGGCACAAAATTACGGATACACCACGAGTGAAAGTGCGATTCTGAGATTATAAGCGACTGTTTCAACGGGATTTACGGCACTTTCGGATTCTTTTGGTCGTGACTCAAGTTTGTAAATTGAAGCATAAAGCTTGATGTTGATATTAAAACACCTATTTCGATGCTAAATTAAATCATTTCAAAACTTATTTGACTATTTTTGCTACGTTGGTAACGGTGTCAATGACTTGTGTGTGTCAAAACTTAACCTCATTTTTTGTAATTTAGGAAGCCTGAATATTTACTACTGCTTCTACAAAAATTTTTAAAACACCAACTTACACAAAATTTAAGTGAAACAAGACTATACAAGCACTCATTTTGGTGTTAAAATGATTTTTTGTTATCAAGTTTTGAACATGTTTTTTCTGTTTCTATTAAAAAGCTTGGTTTTTACACTTTTTGGTGGTTAGATCAACTCGGACACTGCATGATGTAGAAATTTCTTAATTTTTCTTATCTTCTCTATGTTTTTCATTGTCACCAACTTAATTTCAAAGTCACAGACAACTTTGATTAGAAATTTTTGGTTTTACAAAGCTTTTTTAGGATAAAACTATTAAACATTTATTTTGATGCTAAATTAAGTCATTTGAGCATTTATAGAGCTTTTTTGCAATGTTGGTAATGGTGTCAATGACCTGTGTTTGTCACAGCAAAAACTTAATTTAATCTTTTGTAATTTTGTAATTTAGGAAGCCTAAATATTTACTATTGCCTCTACAAGAATTTTCAAAAGAAAAAAAAAACAAATTTAGCCAAAATTTAAGTGATGTTTAAGTAAAACAAGAGTTACAATCACTCATTTTGGTGTTAAAATTTTTTGTTATTATGTTTTAAGCATGTTTTTTATATTTTTATTAAAAAGCTTGATTTTTACATTTTTTGGTGGTTAGGTCAAGTCAGGCACTGATTGTTAAGATTTCTTTTTTTTTCTGTAAGTTTTTCATTGTTGCCAACCTAATTTCAAAGTTACAGACTACTTTGATCAGTAATTTTTGGTTTCAAAAAAAAAGCTTTTTTTGGATTAGACCATTAAACATTTATTTCGATGTTAAATTAAGTCATTTGAGCATTTATAGTGACTTTTTTGCAAGGTTGGTAACGGTACCAATGACCTGTGTTTGTCACAGTAAAAACTTAACCTCATTTTTTGCAATTTAAACTGGATCAATATTTACTACTGTTTCTACAAAATTGTTCAGAAGGGAAAAGACACCAATTTAGACAAAATTAAGTAATTTTTAAGTGAAAGCACTCATTTTAATGTCAAAAGGTTTTTTTATTATCAACTTTTAAACATATTTTTTCTGTTTTTATCGAAAAAACTAGTTTTTTACATTTTTTTAATGGTTAAGTAAAGTCAAGCATTGAATAATGTGAAAGTTTCTTATTTTTTATAATTTTTTTTTTATATTTTTTATTGTTGTCAGAAGCTACTTCAATCCGAAATTTTAATTTAAAAAAAGCTTTTTTGGAATTAGACCATTAAATACTTTTTTCGATGTTGAATTAAGTAATTTGAGCACTAATTATTATTATTATTATAATTGTTGCAAGGTTGGTTATAGTGTCAAGACCCGTGTTTGTCACAGCAAAAACTTAACTTTATTTTTTGTAATTTCAGAGCCAATAGACAAGATTTTTTGTATTCCTAAGTGAAGAAATGCTATACAAGCATTATTTGGGTGTTAAAATAATTTTTTTTTTTTGCAATTTTTTTTTAATATTTCTTCTGTTTTTATAAGAAAGTGTGAAAATACTGAATAATATGGACGTTTCTTAATTTTTATTATTATGTTTTTCATTGTTATCAACATAATTTCCAAGTCACAGGCTACTTTGATCAGAAATTTAATTCAAGACAAAGTGTAGGTATCAAACTGTTATCGAATTTTTCAGAGATGTAATTTTGTGAAAAAAACTTTTGTTGTTTCTTTGTTTTCCT